ACTGATAGGTTGAAACTGGAATGTAGAATTCACTCAAAAAGCATATGACTAGTAAATGTTGATAATATTGAAAAGGTTTTTCATAAAACTAAGACGAGGGCGCGCACTGGACAACTACTGAAAACATTCTGCACTAAAAACTTTTCCTTTTTTTCCTTTGAGCCAAGACAAGAAATTCATAATTCATCGAGGAGCTCGGCTTATCTTCTCATCAGTCCTGTTTTTAGTGTAAGTCCACGATTTCAATTTACGATCTCGGAAAAGGCAAAAGAATCGTGTGAGTGCAAGGCCGGATGGCTTTTTCCGGACCGGCTCGCATCAAGCCGTTCGGCCCGACACGCGTCAGTTGTATACAGCTGAGAAGGTCTGTGGACGAACCTAGTTTTGTAGTAGGCGTGTTTTAAAGTGCGTTGAAAGTTAATTTTAGTGAGGTTTTTGTTTTCAATATGGGGATTGAGATCTCGTCGACGTGAACGCACCCAGCGGTGTAACAGAACATGTCAAATTAAAGCAGTGTTATCAGCTCAACTAACCCTTGCTCTGTAGCGACAACTGCTTTCTTCTTTGTCACTCGAAGTCCATCGACAATAAATAAATATTCTCTTCCTTAACAGCCACTACAGCCGGGCCTAAGGGTTGTCGTTCATTTTAAAACGAATCGTTGAGGTGTAATTACACTCCACTGACAAAAAGCTCTAAGCTTTGCGTATTTCTGGGAAAGGAGGGCGCTGGTTAGTTCCAACCGATCGGTAACGACGGTGGTCGCGTCATTATGACGTCATGAGCTATGAATCAACAGCCTTGAACTCAAAATAGTCATTTCTGAGAAATGGCATGTTGGTGATCATTAACTAGTTTTTACAACTAGGAAGACTCTCTTAACTGCTTAATGTTAGACTTGCAGCCTAACAGTCACACATTCATTGATTTTGTATTATCTGCAGATTTTTATTTCATATTTCTCATAAATAAATAAATAACGAATGTTGGATGAGATGATTAACCAGCTGGGAGACTTAAAGGTCATAACTATTTAACTGCCATGAGTGACCGAGATAAAATTTCTCCTTACAATATCAATGCAATATCAAGCAGACAAGTGATAAGAATAAAGAAGAATATCAAATAGGGGATAAAAAGTTGATCTAATACTAAATTCTCCAAACTCACATCATAGCAATGGCATGGCAGACAGTAAGAAGAATTTGTTACGAGACCTAGAGAGTGAAAGGGTCACAAAAGGGGGTTGCATCATGTGTCGCGCATGGGCGCTAACAGACAGAAATAAGTGATACAAACGGGGCGTTAGTACCCATCGCCGTAAAGCTTGAAACAGTTCGTGCAATCCTGGGATGCTGCGATGGCTAAAAATTCTAAGATTTGTCCCACATGAAGGACGTGGCCCCCGCGAGCAATCCCGTAGAAAACAATAGTGAAAACTTACGCGAATAGGGCCGAACGGGTTCACATGAGCCGGTCCAGAAAAAGCCGTCCGACCTTGCACTCACACGGTTCTTTTACCTTTTCCGAGATCGTAAATTGAAATCGTGGAATTACACTAAAAACAGAACTGATGAGAAAATAAGTCGAGCTTCTCGATGAATTATGAGTTTCTAGTCCTGGCTCAAAGAAAAAAAGGAAAAGTTTTCAGTGTAGAGGCTTTTCAGTGGTTGTCCAGTGCGCGCCCTTCTTTTGTATGCAGGTACGTCCCAGTTTTATGAAACACATTTTCGAAATTTTCAACATTTACTAGTCATATGCTTTTTGAGTGAATTCCAAGATCCAGTTTCAACCAATCACCAACGACGATGGTCGCGTCACTATGGCGTGACAAGGTTTAGATAAGCAGCTTTGAACTTGAGGTGTCGTACAACTTACTCGTGTAAGGATATTGGGGAGTATTCCAACTTGCATCTGCGTCCATAGGCCTGTAAGTGTTAAAGAAGGGCAACGGGAAAGAAGGAGACTTGTTGGCGTGGAATATAGAAGTACCTGCTACAG